GGGTGGGGGTGCGGTGGGGTGGGGGCAGCCCGCACCTCCGCGTGGTGGGCGTAGGCGGCCACGCCCCTCAGGCCGTAGGCCAGCAGCTCGTGGAGGCCCAGCAGCGTGGCGGCCTCCCCGCCCATCAGCTCGCGGCGCCGCATGAGAGACACGCCGTCGGCCAGGGTCTCGAGGGCCGCCAGGCCGGGGGCGTCGCTGCCGAGCGCCCCCTTGAGGCTGAAGTCAATGGGGTGGTGCTCGTTGAACCTGGGGCAGGGTTGGGGTGGAGAGAGTTTTTGCAAAATGACGTGTGGGGACCGTTCAGACAATTATATGTAATCTGGGAATGCGGTTCAGCAGGCTCCCGGGGTGCTGAGGGAGCTGCAGAAAAACCCCCGGGGGTGAGGCGCACGTAGAGCCCGGCGAGCAAAGGCAGTCTGCAAGCCCAGGACCGTTGCCCCGGCGGTGCCGAGCGGCTGCCTACCATGGCAGGGGCTCCTTGGCGGGCCCGCCAGCGATGTTGGCGCGCGCGAGCTGCGCCTTGAGGCCGCGCGTGAGCTCGTCGGCGCGGAGGGTGTAGTCGCGGAAGCGCTCCGCGTCAAAGTTGACCTGGGTTTTGGTGGAGAAGGTGGTATAGGGTGAGTCATGATAAGTGGGTGAGCAAGCGCCATGATTTGTATGCAAGAAGGGTTTGCTGGTTTTGCGTTATGGCAGGCTCGCGGCACTGGATGTTTAGGCTTGCTGGGGTGCAAACAGGTGTTTAAGCGCCAAGCCACCACCCCCAACCGCGCAAGGGCAGCGAGCACGACATCCCCATCCCAACTTTTGAAGCGGGGTGGCCCCTTCTTGACGCCCCCCTGCTCACATTGGTGAGAGTGGAGAAAACGGCGGCCTTGACAAAGGAGTCAATGTCGGGGGTCTCCACTCCGTTTTGGTGGGCGAAGTGCGTCCAGGCAGACAGGCCTGGGAGGCATTGCAGGATGGCGAGAAGGTGAGTGCAGGGGCCGTGTAAAGCAGGGGTTGCACGCGACGCATGCAAACGGCATGGTGCATTTCGCATGGCGCATGCAGCTTGCACGCGCTTGACGCAAGCCGTAAGCATGGCTGAAGCGCGCCATGAGTGTCTCCATGCAGTGCCAACCGACCCCAGCCTGCTGCCGCGGTAATACGCACCCTTGAGCTGGAAGGTCAGGAGGTCCTGCAGGTTGGCCACGTCAGCCGTCTTGCCGCACACGCCCGCAGGGACGTCCGTGCAGCCGGTGCCGTGGAGCGTCTGCTCGCACTGGAAGCTGCGGGGTGATATCGCAGGGGCAGGTGGACGGGGGCACCGGAGGCGCGCACCGAGGTAGGCAAGCAGTCCGGACTGAAGGCTTGTGCGGCCCCTTGTGTTGCAGCAGGAGCAGCAGGAGCAGCAGCAGTGGGTGCGAAGGAAATGCGTACACGGAAACTGCAGCCATGCCCACCAGAACATGTCGGAGTGATCGTGCTTGTGAGAAGCCCCACGCTCGGGCATGGCAATCGCCTGCAGCCGGCGCGACGACGCGCGCACTGGTGCGCGGGGCGCAAAGGAGGCACGGGGCGCAGCCGCGGGGCGCCTCGCGGCTGTGGCCATCCGGCCAGAGCAGTGGAGGCTGATCAGGCTCATGGTCTTGGTTGAGAAGCGGAAGGCTTTGATTTCGGAGAAGCGTTCCGAGAGGTTGTTTTTGAGAGATATGCCAGTGGGTCGTGTCGTTGCTTGCTCAAGGTTTTGAAACAAGTTGTGATAATTTTTAAGGTTGCGCCTCTATGAACAGGCTTGCATAAAAGTGCATCAAGAAGGGACCTTTGGAAGGGTCCAAGTACACGTCGCTACGGTATGTGCGTCGCGGATGATGACGATCGCGGCAGGAAACACTTCGTGAATATATTGCAAAGCAATCTCAACGTGCAGTACCACGTTTAGACCCTCGAGCATTGCTGCGGCGCCCCTGCACCGCCTGCCGACTCGCTGCCATACCGTAATAACCGACTTCCTTGTTTGAAGGGTGGATGCCCGTCTGCATGTTGTGCAATTGCGTTGTGCAGCTCATCGACAATGGCACTGTCGCTCTCTGCACAGCGCGCTTGGTTCTGCCGCTTGCTGCATTCGGCACTCTGCATGACATGGACGACACGTCGATGATGTCAAGAACCGTCCTAAGCGGAAAGCTTGCACCCATGGTACCCTTGATCCCGCTGCACTGTTGCATGTTGTGATGGCTGGAAGAAACCATAGATCTACCTGCAGCCTACATCGTGGCATCTCTCCATGGTACGCAACAGACTATGCTGCAGGCCCACAGCAGGTTCAGTTGAGCAGGTGCACTAGGGAACCTAATCCATTACACCGGCCACCCCGAGCGCCGTGCATGTGAGCGCAACTCCACGATGCGCCTGTCCATCTCTGCTATCTGCTGCTCTTGCTGCTCAATCACCCTCTTCTGGTCCACAATAGTGAAACAGCTTTGCACCACAGCCTTTTCAGCCTTTTCCCCCAACGCCAGTAGCGGTGCAACCAGGGCATCGCTTAGGCCGGGCAATCCGGTGCTTCCGTAGCTTCCCCAAAGCTCCCGCAGATCCTCCAGGGCGGCGTCCCCCAACTGCGCGCAGGCCAACAATCTCGGCCACCAATCGGATTGCTGCCCTTGCGCCGGCGCCTGGGCTGCAACCCATGCGGTTGCCGCACGCAGCGCGGTCAGCGCCGGGGCGCGCGCCACCACTGCGGCCAGGCAGTCGAAGGGCCAGAGCGCGAACGCAGGGTCGCTGACGAGTTCCGCCAGCGCCTCAGCCGCTTGCCCATACAGGCTCGTCTCGCACGCGCGCCAGCATGACGAGTGCGCGGCGGGCAGCAGCGCGCACAGCGCTGCCGGCGCGAGCCGCGCCGTGCTGAGCTCGACGAGCAGCCGCCAGGCCAGGCCTGAGCGCAGTTGGTACTGGTCTGCAAGCGCGTGCAGCGCGACCAGGCCCGACACGGGGACCTCGCCGCGCTGCCCATACATGTGTGCCACAAGGCGCGCCACGGCAGCAGGGTCCGCGCCTCGCAGCTCAACTGCTGCGTCTCGTGCCTCCTTCATGGGGCTCGAGCTCAGCATCGAAAGGAACACAGGGCTGGCCGCGGCCAGCACGACCCGGTGCGCGGGGAACTCCGCGCCGCCGGCGCGGATGGCCGCATCGCAGAACGGCCCATTGAGCATGCAGCCCATTGCGGCCGCTCCCGACGCCGGCTCGACTGCCAAGGCGTCGTCCGGACCGAGCGCCGCCCCTGGCATGATTGCCAGTGCGGCCTGCAGCCGGAAGCCCTCTGCCACGGCGGCCGCCACATCGCTGGCGGCCAGGACGAGCTCGAGTGCGGGCAGCTGCTTTGGGGCGACTCCCTGGGAGGAGGCACCCAATATTATCATGTCCTCCGTGCCGTCTGACTCGCGCACGCCGCGGATGTGCAGGGACAGCGCCACCTGGCAGGGCGGTGGGCGTTGGGTGCATCATTTGCGGCGGCAGGGAGCACTGCGGCAGGCAGCAGGGCCTGGCCGCCATGCGCAACAGGTCATGCTGCGTCTCGCATGCCATGACAGACGCTCCCAATGGCTTCTCGTACCTCATTTGCCACTTCTCCCACCCACTTGATGGTGGTGCGTATCTGCGGGCCCGCCTTCCCATCCTCTGCCCCTGGCGCCACGCCCTCGACAGCCACATTGATGCACAGTGCCGCGCTCAGGGGGGTGGCGACGTCCAGCTGCAGCGCTGCGCAGCCTGTGTTCAGCTCTTTCACTTGCTTTTCAAGAGCATCCAGTGACAATGTGGCGTGAAAGACCTCCATGCTACTAGCTACAGTGCAGTCAAGTTGTAAACAGGGGCATGGATCAATGTTTCAGACGTGGATCTGCAGTTCTACGATGACACAAGACAGTGCCGGTCATAACCGTACTGTACATTACGGAATTTGTTACGACCAGGATGGTCTCGAGCATGTCGTTGTGCTGCAATACCAAGCGTGAATGCATGCCGTCAGGTACTATCGCCCGCCACTTGTGCACCTGTTTCAGTGGCTAATGAAGCACCTCGCCGCGTGAGCTGTGCTGCAGCCAGCCACACGCTGCTGCACACTTGTTGCGTTGGGATCAAATGTTTTCATGCTTTCACTTGTTGGCACATTGTGGAAGCCAATCATGTCTCTCAGGCCCATCCACAAAGCACGAAGATGGCCAGTTGAGCGGTGTCTCATCAGGCATCAGGGCCGGCTGACCATGCCTGAATTCAAGTGTTCCAAGGCCCTGAGAAGCCACGGATGACAGAGCCATTCCAGACCTGCAGGGACCTTTGTAATGTTGCTTACAAAGAGGAAAGCATCAAACAGTAGCAGGAAGAAGGTGCCCTGATGACAGGCGGGTGAAAACCACAGGCAGGAGCCACAGGTCAGAACGGCGCCCATGCAAAAAGGTGCTGGCCGAGGTTCAACAAACCCCAGACGCTGACCCGATAACAACGTAACAATGTTTGCCTGTGAGAGGCACGATAATCTCCATTGGGAGGCTGCACATAAGGCTTGCACCCTGTCAGAGGCCAAAGTATACAGTATTGCGAGGTTGCTTGCGCAGTGTGGGCCGCCTGGGTGGCAAGGCCAACCCCCCTTGGGCATGGCTGCCATAGAGGGGGCTGCGCACAGTCGCGAGGTGGAGGCCTGGAGGCCTGGGGCTGACGACACACGCCGCCGGCGTGTGGTGCTGGGGCACTTTGGAAGAACGCAGGGGCCACGTAGCTCAAGCTCAGTGCTGCCAGGGACGATTGCGGCGCCACAAGTGCGCTTCGTTTGTTCGAGGCCTCCCCCGTCCCCTCACCGCAAAGAACAGGAAATTGTTGAGCAGCAAGGAAAAACACGTTGCGTGTCAGGTGCGAGGACACCGGGCCGCCAGCGAGCAGGCCGCGTGGGGGCACGCAATGCGAGAGAGTGTGAGGCCATTTGGACTCAGTGGGGGTAGGGCGCCGGTGCACCCAGCCGCACGCGCTGCACGCGAGGGCGGCGCGCCGCGGCATAAGCGTTTGCAGCAGGCGCCGTTGCGTGGCGTCGCTGCATAGAGTGGATTTGGAACTCGTCGTGTTGTTGCGTGTGTGAATGTGGCACGGAATCTGGGGGAAGATGTGTGTGTGCAACCAACCGATCAGGAGCGCGGCTCTGTTGCGCGCCCAGAAGCCAACCCAAGCTCGACACTCGATTGCCCGCCACAAGGCCGTAGTGCTATGTCAACTCAGTGCAGAAAAGGCGATCAGCTGCGCTCGCAGATGGCTCAAGCGACGCGCCGCCAGCCGTCCTCTGCCACGGGCGTCTCCTGCGCAGCGGCCGCGGCCGCGGCGTTCGCTGCGCCAGCCTCGGCCTCTGCTTGCAGCTCGTCCTGCTGCCCCAGCATGGCCTGGAGGCGCGCCACGATCTGGTCAAACGTGGGGCGGCGCTCCGACACGCCGCGCATGCAGTCCTTGGCCAGCTCCACGTACGCCTGCGGCGCGGCGGTGGCGGCGGTGGGGGGCAGTGGGTGATGTTGTTGATGGGCAGTGCGGACGGTGGTGGTGGTGCTGACCCCGCACTTGTGCCTGTCACGATCCAGCAGAGCGAGCCGTGAAATGTCCAAGCGGTCAACCCTCGAGGCCCAATCACAATACAAGTGCATGCCTCCATGCCCAAGCTCCAAATTCAGAACAGCAGCATCTGCTGCTGGAATGCACGCCTCGCCATCCTACAAAGACTGTCGCCCAGCTGGTCTGATCAGCTTATAGGTTGAGCCGTGGCCTCACCTGTGGTGCCGCGGGTCCAAACGTCAACCGCCTGCCCTCCATGACCGCTGTGACAATCTCCCCCATCATCTTGCCGCCCCAGGGGTTGGCTGCCATGATCACCTCCCACACTGTGCAGGGCGGAGGCGGGAGTGTAAACCAGTGGCCTCAGGGGCAACATTTGGAATGAGGGTCAGCGCACAGTCAGACCAGCTTGTTGCTCAGGCCGGCGAGATGCAGCCGCAGCGGGGTCCCGCGACCTCAAGGATGCGTGGAGCGCGAACGCAAGGTGCGCAGCGGCCGGCGCGGTCCAGGGCAAGGGCTGGTCGTGGTGGCGGCCAGGAAAGGTGCGGTGTGGGGGCGGGCCGGAAGACTCACTGACGACGCCGAAGGAGAAGGCGTCCGCGGGCTTCGACAGGCGGCCGGTCCGGATGAGCTCGGGGCACTGGTGCGTGATGGTTCCCAGGGTGTGGGTCGACAGGTGCGTGGCGCCCTCGCCCATAATCCTGGGGGAGGGAGGGACAGAACATCGTGGTTGTCGTTAGCGCCCGCAAAGCCCAGCAGCCTGTCGCACCGAGCCCGTTGTGAGGCGCTCCTGCGACCGTCCCAGCTTCACGTGCGCCCTCTGTTTACCATACAAGGGCCTTTTGAGGGTGGCTGCCCGGCCGGCCACCCACCTGGACAGGCCAAAGTCCGCCACCTTTGGCACCATCGCCATCACAGACTCCGCCACCGCCGCACGCGCCGCCTCTGCCGCGCCAGGGCCGCCGCCCAGCCTCTGGCTGGCCGCGCCGCTGTGGCTGCCGCTGAAGCTCGCGGCGGCGCCGCGGCCGCCGTCTGGGGACTTGAGCAGCACGTTCGCTGCCTTGAGGTCCCCGTGCAGCACGTTGCGCGCGTGGAGCCACTCCATCCCGCGCGCGACACCCAGCAACATGTGCAGCATCACGCCCTGCTCGGGTGAAATTGGGGCCGGGCAGGGCAACAGTGAGCGCTGGACCGTATGCGTCTGCGTCAAATACGGTAGGAAACAACATGCACAACACCGCGCCTGGCGGTACCGGCAGCTCGCTCTCCTGCCCTCTTATGGGTGCTGGCAGTGCGCACCATCTGCGGCACCATCTGCGTGTTGAAAAACGCGCCGCTGCCCTTCTCAAATACAGCGTCCTGCGGCGATGGGATGACAGGCGATGGCGGACGCATCAAGAGCGGCCCCACCGGCAGCAAGAGGCTGCGCTTTGCGCCTGCCGTAACAGACAAGCGTGAATTTCATATGCAGGTGGCGCCCCGCAAGCAATCTTGGCCCGCTGAGGCAGCCCAACACGCCATCATTCCGCATTGAGTGGCACGCACCTGCAGCGTGCCCCCATCACAGTACTCCTGAAGGATCCATGTCTCCACCATCCGCTTGCTTGCGGCTGCCGCCGACGTGCCGCCGCTCCCGTTGCCGGACGCCACCAGCGAGTTGCCGCCGCTGGAGCTGGCGACATCAAAGAAGGGCACAGTGAAGCTGCCGTTGAAGCTGATGTGGCGCGCGTCGGCCACGCCGTTGCCCTGCGCGTGCGGAAGCGACGGGAAATTGCATGATTGGCAACCGGCCAAGGGGGACGGCAGCGGGCGCGGGAGGCGCAGGGGCTGGCCGTGTGAGCACAACGCCCACCGCCTGCAATCATGGACACCCTCCGCCAGGGCCCCAGCCGCCCCGCCCCCTCCCCCTCCCACCCGTCCTCCAACAACAAGAAGGCCCAGAACAACGCCGCCGCGCACCTCGGGCCGCGATACGCCCGCCGCGCCCCACGTGACGAAGTGGTGCGCCTTGACCACGTTCTCAAAGTCAAAGCCCATCATCAGCTGCACCTCGTTGGCCACCCTGACCGCTGCCTGGCGGTTGTGGTGGATCACCTTGATCGCCACCTCCGCGTCCCCAAAGTGGCCCCTGAACACGCGCCCGAAGCTGCCCGCGCCGACGAGCGTGCCGAGCTGCACGGCGGACGCCTCCTCGCGCGTGAGGGAGCCGCTCAGCACGTCCGGAAGCTGGGAGGACACCGACGAGCGGCTGCCGCCGCCGGGGCGGTCCAGCTGCGACGACCCCGAGCCGGGGCCGCCCTGGAGCGCGCCGCCCGACGACGACGGCGAGGGGTTTGTCGGGCAGAGCACGTGCACGACGCCGCCGGTGGTGGCGCCAGAGGCGTGCTGGCCCAGGCGCCCCTTGCGCGCCACGCCGTCGCTGCCGAGGCCCGACCCAAATCCTGACTCAACGTCTGACAGGTCAAGCCCCTTGACC